CCTGTTGTGTAAGCCGAGTATAAGATCAGGTCTTCTGGTTCATGACCTGATCAGTCAGACAGTTGGTGCTCGCTGCACAAAATCCCACGTAAGTTTATTTAGGTACATGTACACATAAATAGTTACAAAAATTATCATACATAGTAACATAACCAGAAAATGACATAACCCCCCAAAAAGTCAGTGACTTATTTCCATTGGGATCCTTGACACGTAGACATTTTTGAACACTGCTGATCCAACTGGTTGTTGCAGCTGGTGCTGGAGACCAGTCACTACGTTGAAATGACTAACTGAAGGGCCTTATTGAAGGAGGAAGGGGAAATCGGAAGGAAGGGAGGAGGAGGATGCACAATGGCGCAGCAAAGTTGAGAACTAAGTTGGCTTTCAATACTCGTCACCTCCATCCCTGGAACTTGTTGAATGTGGGTAGTACGCCCAAGTATACTCGGAAGGAGGGAAAGTAGTCAAAGTTAAAGATAGGAAAGTAGTTGTAGAAAGGGGCAGGCAGTAGAAGAGAAAGGTGGTTGAAGTGGAGGTGGCGGTTGCAGAATAGGGTAATGGTAGAAAGATGGGGTGTAGGGGGTGGTGGAGGATGAAGGGAGATCATATCCCGCAGGAGTAAGGGAGGAACTTGAGGGAAGAGAGGAGGCATTGGGGTAGTGAGGGGAGATAGGGTGGTTGGAGAGGGGAAGAGTGATACAGACAAAATTGGTCAGTGAGGGAGAGGAAAGTTGGTGATAAGAGGAAGGTGGGGGTGGGGAGGGGTGAGACAGAGAGAGAGAGTAGATAAGGTGAGGCTCCTGTGTGTTTGCGATTACTTGCTTGCAGGTACAAGTCTTTCAGTGTTCATTTGGTGCAGAAGTTCCCTGTTTGTCAATACTGGTGCGGAGTTGCCGATGTGTCTGTTGCATTTGTTTTGTTTGAAAATTTCCAGTGGGTGCAATAATGCCAGCTGACCTGCCGTTTAGAGAGCACAATGAGACAAGTGTTTTGAAACCCAAACAACTGTTAGGGTGGGTAATTAGAACTTTTTAAACGAGGTTCAAATCAAAATTCTACCACTCTGCATGCTTGGAAGAAGCAGTGCCTAGAAATGTGGGTAATACTGAGACTTTTAATGTTATCTCAGGGTAAACGTGTGTTCCGGGGGTCAACGTCCCCGCTCCCCGGTTCATGATCAAGCCTCTAACTCTCTGTTGCCTATACCATTGTCAGGGAAAAACTTTCTTAATTTGAGGCCTTGGTTCATTGGGGTATCTTTTCTATCTATACCGTTTGCAAAAAAAAAAAAAAAAAAGAATCTTGTATCATTTCTATACCTCTTTCTTAGTTGGCAACTTTGGTCCACTGGGCACCTTTCCTTTTATTTCATGAGGATCTTTGTAGATGATTCTCTGGTGTGTACTCATTGCTGCTAACCCTAGTCTAGTTTGTACTCGCCGCTGCTAACCCTAGTCTAGTATGTACTCGCCGCTAACCCTAGTCTAGTATGTACTCACAGCTGCTAACCTTAGTTTGGTATGTACTCACTGCTAACCCTAATCTCTGGTATATACTCATTGCTGCTAACCCCGTCTTGTGGGTTGGCTTGACTGACCTCTCAGGTTCTGTCGTACTTTATCCTGAAGCTGTGAGTTGAGGGAGGCTCCTGTAAATCGTCTACCTCATTCAAGTTTTGAGTCAAAATGAGACTAAAGGAATGAATACTGTTGTTTTAACGTCATTATAACTCATCTGTGTGTTAAGTTTTTATCTGTGTGTTAAGTTTTTATCTGTATTTCTTGGTTCTTAGTTTTCTCCAACTTTTATGGAGAGAGAGAGAGAGAGAGAGAGAGAGAGAGAGAGAGAGAGAGAGACCGATCAAAATTGTATCCACATACTAAAGTTCCCTTTACCCTCGCTCATCCATCCTTCCCCCTCATTCGACCATCCTTTCCCCTTACTTAACCATCCTTCCCTTCCCATACATTTCTCTCTTGGCATATCTCTCCTTTATCTCTTTCCGTTCACCTATCTTCCCCCTTCCTTTCACCTATTTCCATCTTCTCCTCACCTATCTCCCTTCTCTCTCTCTCTCACTTATATCTTCCTTTTACCTATCTCCTCGCACACTCACCTTTCTTCCTTCTGCTCGTCACTACTCCTTCATTTATTCACTTATGACTTTGCTTCCTCTCTCTTGTTATCATTTCATCTCTTCCCGTTTTCCCCTCCTCCCTACTTCCCACTTTCATCAGTCAGACATTATTTCCTCCCATCGCACCCCTGCAAGATTGAGGTGCTAACAACAGCAATAGGAACAGCAGCAGCATCAACAAAAGCAGTAGCCACAGTAACATCATCAACAGTAGCAAGAGTCAGTTCAGCAGCAGCAGGAAGAGCTGGAACAGTAGCAGCAAGAGCGGGGAGCTGGATCAGCAGCAGCAGCAGCAAGAGTTGGATCAGCAGCAGCAGAATGGAGGAGGGCTGTGTCTCCCTCTGGTGGCGGCGGCGGCAGGGGTGATAGATTAGCGTCAGGGGAACCTTCGCCTTTGTTTTGCTACAGAGGATAAAAAAAAGCAAGATGCAGGGGAGGGAAAGGCAGCATAACATGTTTTGGATACCGTCCACTCCTGTAGCTGATGGCGACGGCGCTGCTGATGGTGGTGGTGCTGCTGTTACTAGTTCTATGCTGTTGATAATGGTGGCTCTCCCGATTGTGGTGCTCAGTGCTGTTGCTAGTTCTGACTGTGGTGATGCTGGTGGTGGGGCGTTCCTGGTGCTTATTATTGTAGTTGTAATGTTATTTGGGAGGCCTGGTCTCGGACCGGGTAGAGGGCGTTGACTCATGAAACTATCTTCAGGTGATGATGTTGCTGATCCTTCTAATAGCTGCAGTGGCAGTGCTGCTGCTGGTTCTTCTGGTGGTGGTAACAGTGGTGGTAGTGGCACTGGTACTTCTGCTGGTGGTGTTTTCCCTGCTGGTGCTTCTACTGCTACTGTCGGGCTATTGATTTTACTCCCATTTATTTGGTTTCTACAGCTGTTTCTGTTGATGGCTATGGTATTGTTTTTGTACCCACCTCTCCTGTTCCTCTCTTAAAAGCACTGTCATTCCTCGCACATACATCAGCTTTCCTAACACTTTCCTTCTCATACAACTCTTTTTTTTTTGTTTTACCCCGTGTTTCCTCTTCTCTGATCCTTTATCCTCTGCGTCTCTGGCTTTCCTATAATCGCCAGCACGAGCTGCTACCCCTCGCTTCGTTTTGCCAGCTTTAGTTTCCTCTCTCTCTGTCCCTGGCGATTATTTTTTTCTGCTTCTCCCTTTCCAGTGTGGTAGAGGTAGGGTCCCCTCTGGCCAGCGAGGGAACGAGTTTGTTAGGAGCGAGGGGAGATAAGGACGCCCGTCTCCAAGGTAACATGCGAGGGGAGAGCAGGAACTAGAGCTTACCATTACATTTTTTCCCCAATTTGATATATTTAATGGATATATGGGAAGATAGAGTGAAGTTGCTCTGACGGAGAAGTGATCCCCAAGCATTCTCTCTCTCAGGCCAGTCCAGAGAGGGGTGGATGAAGTGGCAGAGTTCAATACTGGTCCCAGTAGGGCTTATCGGGGTCCTGCCATTATCCTCGCTGAGATACTGCATTGACAAACGATTCTGAGTGTAACATTAGCAAGGCTTGCAAGAATAACGACCGAGATGTGTTTGTTGTCATGCTGTCTGTGTCTTGCTTGGACGCAAGTTGAAGGTCACTACCGAACTCTCATCTATCCCTTTTCTAGCTATCTATTGCCTCTCTTCCTTAGCCTCTTTCATCTATTGCCCCCCCCACCTGTACACCCTTGGTTTCTCTTGTACCTCTGTTATTATTATTCCATTGATGGGGAAGGGGGATGTTGCTGAGCATGCAGGGGTCATACAGCACCTGAGGAATGGGAGGCACTCTGGTCTGATCCAAAAAAGTGGAGGGTAGTCCCAATTCCCTGGATCAAGAGCATTTTACCAGTATCAAGGTACCTTCCCTCATACTTCTCTGAAGAGAAGGGGAAAGCAGACGGGGCCTATGACAATGTTCTACCACCGTTCTACTGCTGGCCTCCTTCCTCTTGCTGCTGCGTCCTTCTAGCTGCCTTACTCCTGCTGCCGCTCTGCTACTCTCTCCTGCAGCTTCCCTCTAGCTGTCACCCTTCTTCTGCCAATAAGCCAGCCTGATGACATAGCTTTATTGGGTTATTCTGAGTTACTAACCCTCCGGATTAATGATGCAAAGAAAATCTGCTGCTTCCTTCAACACTGAATTATTCAGACAGTACTGAACACTCAACATCTCCGACGCTCCCTTCCTAAAAAGGGAAATAAAAGAAAGCTACCTTGTTAGGTTTAGACTGAGAGGTGACTATTCTTACAGGTCTTTAGATCCTGCAATGACAACCTTGTCACGTTTAGACAGAGTAACTTTTTTTTATCAGTCTTTAGATCCTGGAATGACAAACTTGAACAATGGCAGGGATCCATAGGTTCGTGAACCTAAATTCATACCCCTAGTAATACTGTTTTCACAAATTTATTCTTACTGTATCCCATCTAACATGCTGACCCCGACAAGTCAGGGGTCAGTCAATCAACTTGTGGGGTAGTTGTAAAACGTAGTGACTGTATAAGCCACCCTGATAAGCCTAAAGACAGGTAGATCTTACATGCCTCCCCACATCCATGTCTCTGGATTTCTGAATTTCTAGGTTCTCCGTGTTTGCCAAAGCTAGTTCTGCTATTAACTTCTTCTTGAAGCCATTTGTAACATACAAGCCTGGCTCAGGGCCGGGCTGTGGGAGTAAGGGAAACTCTGGGACTTCTTCAGAGGTATACCAGAGGTAAAGTAGAAAGTGGTTGAGCATTAAATTACTATACTGGTCAAAGAGCCTTAGTGGTGTTATTACACCACACAGGGTACAGCCCAATTTTAATATTTTACAGCATGTTTACCTAATGACAACTGCTCTTTCATTACAGACGCAGAGGCCAGAACAGAGCGTCATGCAAGCGCTGGAGTCCCTCAACGATGGTCAGGTAAGTTGATGCTTGCATTACCTCTATATTACCTGTTAAATTTATTATGTCTCTCTTTTCAGGGAAAGTTTGTTTTTAATAGTGAAAGGCTCTTGATTCATGTAACTGGCACTGGATGACCCCTATGGGTTTAGTGCTTCTCTATGATAATAAACATCAAGGCAGCCCCCCATGAAGGGATTAAATTCCCAAAAAATTAAGGGCGTCACGATAATAAAACCATTATTAACGAAAACAGGGAGCCAAGGTCCAGGTTTTTCGATAGTAATTTCACTCTTGAAAACTCTATTATTATTGTGAAATTATCACAATATTAAATCATTGTTTGCCGTACTTCCATTTCCTTTTATGTACCATTTCAAGTTCATGCAACAGAAATTATCATGTCAGGTAAAAGGACAAATGTGCAACTAACCTGAAGGCTAGGATATATGAAGGACATTTCTAGGGGTCAGTTGCCTCCAGGGCCTGGTTCCAGACCAGGCCTCCTAGAGGATCAAGACCTAATAAATCAGGCTGTTACTGCTGGCTGCACTCAATCCAATGTATGAACTGCAGCCTGGCTGGTCAGGTACTGATCTGAAGAACTTGTCCAGTTCCCTCTTGAAGACCACCAGAAGTTAATTGGTAATTCCCTGTAGGCATAGAGGGAGGGCGTTGAAAAGTCGGGGACCTCTGACACTCATTGATTTCTCTCTTAGTGTACTCTTCGTACCCTGGCTTTTTAGTGGAGGTATTTTGCACCAACTGACCAAACGCCATTTGTTGTTTGGTCAGATGGTGCAAAACACCACCACTAACCCAAACACTATTTGGTGTTTGTGTTAGGGACCAATCCCTCCAGAATTTCCAGGTGTAAATTATTATGTACCCTTCTCACCTACATTCCAAGGAATAGAGTTTAGGGTTTTCAAGTGTTAGAGTAAGTATATATGAGCTGTGAAGGTTCGCTGTACGTTTTCCAGCTTAACAGTGTCGCCTGCCTCGACATTTTATTGCTGCAATATTATGTTCTCCATGAGTTTCATAAAGCTCCTGGAAAGTGAAACGTTGCAGCAATAAAATATCTTGTTAGTTGCACGTGTCCTCTTACTCAACATAATGTCGTTAATTGTACCAATATTATTAGAGAAATTATCATTTTGTGATGGAAATAAAGGTAGCATTAAAATTTAAGATGAAGTAGGAAAACCAAATGAACCTCATGCAAGCTATGCAGGAGAACATCATCTCTCATAACAGCAGTAGAAGGTTTAATAACAGAGATAAAAATGTAGAAAACTTCCAACCTTTAGCTACAATGGCCCCTCAAGGGAGGTTCCTTGATGCTCGTAAGGGGCTCTTTATCTAGGGAATTGGATCTTTTGTCCAGTTTCCTGAATTGAGCCTGAATATCTTCCATTCCCCCCCCCCCCCTCCACATGTGCTGTATAATCCTATGGGTTTAGCACTTCCCCATGATTATAATAATTGTATAATTAGCTACAATGTATATGGCAAACCTTGTAGAATACCTCCCTTCACATCCTCACCCAGACCAATCATCCTTCAGCAAATGACACTGGTCACAGGCAAAAACAACGTCTCCTTATCAACCACAGAATAGCTGCTTAACATTTGTACTGCAATACTGACTTCAAACTACTTCCCAGAGATATTCAAAATAGCAAAAATGATAAGTCATTGCCAAGCCCAACAAAGACTAGCACAAATCCAGGAACTACGGACCAATCTCTTAGAAATCACTGGAAAAATATTTGCATGGAATTCCAACAGTTTAATTTTAGAGATCAGAGAGCAACCCAGCATACAACCAGCATCATCTATGATGGGGTCAACAGCATACTGAATCAAGGCACTGGATAGTCTGTGGCTGACCTACCCAACCACAATTGGTCATTTTTGAGTGATGTACAATTTCTTGAACAGAAGCAAACAGCTGAAGCATTCATACCTATAGCTGGAGTGTCTGAGGGCTCCTGGCTGAGCCCTGTCGTGTTTAACATCTCTGAAAATGATGCTTTCCCAACAGGGGTCTCAGGGCACAGTCGTAACACAATTTACTGATAATGTAATATACTATGTGGTGGCCTTCACCCCAGCAGGTAACAGCAAACCTGAAAAAAGTGACTGAGAGGATGAATGAGGAACTGAATAGACCAGCTACTTGGGAAAAGAAATTAAAAATTATCACCAACCCCCAAAAAAGTACAAAGTAGCACAATAGAATGTCACCCAGTGACAAATGAAAACAATGGAGGAATCATGATAAGAGACTCCTATTGCCATCAAAAGTTCCAGCAAGATCTTAGGTTATGCAATCGACAGACTGAATGCCCTTCAGAAACAAAGTAAATCTAGCACAAGGTTTATCTCCTCCAACCAAACAGTTTCAGACAGGCTCCAACCCACATCAAAAACATCCCTATAAGATGACAATATGCCCAATTCTCGAGTATTTGTGCACCCCTGTCATTGACAACATCCAAAATGTTGAAAATTCAAAGATTCCAAACAAAGCCCTTTGTCTAAAATACCTGTTTGATAAAATTAACCAGAATGGAGGACCTCCATGTAGGAGTGATACCAGAATTTCTGTACTAGGGGGTCTTAGGGATGGCTGTCTGGTTGGAAGAGGTCTCTAGGAAACTTCTGAAGCAGCATTATTATTATTACTGTATTTTTATTTGGGGCACCACCACTGCCTCCATGTATAACGTGAAATTGATGCCATTAAGATCAAGCAGCTCCAGTACTGTATGAATAAGTTATATTTTCCCGACAGAAATGACCCACCCCAACCCATCAACACAAATTTTGCTCAAACTCTGTGACCCTTGAACTGCCACAGAGTATAAAAAAGTGAGGCACTACATTCACAAGGATGAATTCCCAAGGACAAGGATACTAAGTGATCTGCCAGAAGACAGAATGTTTAACGCCTCATCCAGTTTATGTAAAAAGTTGATAAATCCATAACTGTTGTGACATTCCCAAACACCTGAACTTCATGAAGAGCAACAAACACAGAGCACCGATCCTAGCAAGCAACATGCCACTGATGTACCCACAAGCCTCTGGAGCTGTAACTTATCTCCACATAAAAAATAACCTCATGAAAATATATTTAAAGCTAAGCATACCCATACAGGAAGCATGTTTAGTAATGTTTCACAATCTCTTATAAATATTTTTTGAAATTTATAGTCACAAAATACAGCACGCAGATCAGCCTGTTTTTTCATAATTTTTTCTTGCATGTTTTGACCTACTTATAAGCACTTTAGAACTAATTAAAGAGCATGGTAATAATGTTTCCAAATGAATATTTTTAGTGTTTATTTGTTTTTCAGGTGAATGACTTCTTGACAGGCAAGGCCCCACTCAACCTAACTATGCGACTTGGGGATCACATGATGCTCATTCAACTCCAGCTGTCCACTGTATCACCTGGCGGCTCAAGGAAGACCCGTCTCCAACCCACACACAGTCATACCCACTCTCACACTCATGCGCACACCCATACTCACACACACACGCATGCTCACACACACACTCACAGCCTTGACCATGGAGGGGCTGCTCGTACATCCACACATTCTCATCCTCTAACGCCACCATATACCCCTCATGCTACCTGCTCGGGTTATTCTCCTGTGCACACGTCTCATATGTCCAGCCAATCCTCAATCCCAACTTCCGTGACAATTAACCCTAGTCAGTCTACGTCCTCTAATTCTGCAGCCTCCAATACATCTACTATGTCTAATTCCCCTTCTTCTCCATCTTCTTCCTCCTCTTCCTCCTCTTCTTCCCCTACCTCCTCTGCATCAGCAACCTTACATCACCAACATAATCTTTTACACCATCATCATTATCATCATCATAGTATGGGCTGTGGATCTCCATCATCCCCTCCACCACCATACTTAGCCACCCCTCCACACCACCACCATCACCACCACCTTCACCATCATCATCACCGGCAAATACCAGGCTCTCCTTCCACCCCCAACAGTCCCACCTCAACTTCGAGCGGATCAAACTCCAGTTCGCCGTCTGGTCTTGGAATGGATGGTGACCTTCCTGTCAGAGGGTGTCCACACAGGGGTGAGGAAACTGACCCTAGAGCCTCTTTAGATACCAAGGCACTGGCTGAGGCTTCCCGTAACTTAACTCAGACACTAAAGCAGTTGTCCTCGGAAGTCCTGACATCAAAACCAGAGCAGAAGGAGGTAAGAAAAATGCTCTTTATTTTTTCATCCAAAATAATCCCACAAATTTCAGGAATAAAATTTCTGATTCCAAAATTTTTGTATTTGTATGTGATTTGCTAAATCTGTGTGGTTTGCTCAGTACAAGTAGTACTGAGTACTCAGTCCTCTCTCTTTATTGCCAGATGTATTTACCTATCTGTAATACAGATTTGTCTTGATAATATTGATTACAAAAAGTACAGTACTGTGCTCCATAAAATATGTGCATTTTACTAATGAAAAGTTGTTCTACAGGATACCCTGACCCCCCATGAGGTGGCAGCAACATCTCTGGGTTCAATGGGTGGCAACAGCAGTAGTAATAGTAGCACTAGTAACAGCAGCAGCAGCATTAGTAGTGGCAGCAACAGCAGTGGCAGTGGGTGCAGCAGCAGTAGCAGTAGCAGCAGCAACAGTAGTAGTAATAGCAGCAGCAGTGGCAGCAGCAGCAACAGCAGCAGCAGCAGTGCAACTAGTAGCAACAGCAGTAGTAGCACTGGTGGCATTAAGAAGCAGGGAGCCATAATTGAGAGTATGCATCACCATGGCAAAGGGGTGTACTCAGGCACTTTCTCAGGTAATATCTTTAAGGCATAATTTGATATAATTTTGGTTAAAATACATAATTTTTCCTGTTGCAGGAAATTTTTGAATTATGGTTTTGAAAGAGGCATAAAAGGGTATGTAAGTAGTATTCAAACAGGCTTGTGTGAGTGCATTAGATTGGAGTATATGGAGTTCAGTGGGTTTTTTTTGTCTTAACTTGCATGTTGAGGTAAGTGAGATGACATTTATGAAGGGGTTTAGGGAAACTGTTTAGCTGGACTTGAGTCCTGGAGGTGAGAACTAGAGTGTCTGCATTCTGAAGGAGGAGTGGGGATGTTGCAGTTTGGAGAGCTATCTGAACTGTGATGTCTGCATGCTTCTGGCAAGAAACGATCAAATGACTAATGGTGAATTCATTTCCTCTTTATTTTTGGGTCACCTTATCTCAGAAGGCTGATAAACTGTGCAATGAGAGCAGTTTGTTCAACTGTATTAGTTTATAAAAGGGCGACTTGTAGACTTCTCGATACATGTACAGTAATTTTTTTTTTTTTTAGATTATATTCATTGAAAGCACTAAACTTTTAGGAATTAAGCAGTATCAGGGCTTTTAGAAAATCAGCTAACACTGTATGTCTGACTATTATTTAGTGGTTACCAAAATAGGAGAAAGAGAAAGAAAGGTGGCATACAAGGTTTCACTGGGTAAAAAAGAAGTGAATGTGAATGAAATTAAGGATGGCGAGATATACGAGAAACTGCTGGAAGAAAAGTTGCCTCGAGTGAAATAGTGCTGAGGGGTGTCAGAGGTATGGTGTGAAGGGAAGAGGAATGATGTGGTAAAGTTGAATGTTAACATATGAAAGTTTTGGCCATGTAAAAATTGATACATGGCAGAGTATATGGAGAGGAAAGAGAGGTCAAGGATAAATTTAAAAATGTCATAGAACAAATAAAAGAATAAGCTGGAGGTAAGTGACAGCTAAACAAGATGAGAAAGCCTGGGAAGCAAGTGGAGCATTTACAGATTTACAAAAATCAGATGTTTTGTTATACAGGGAAGCAGTGTGGCATGCATTTGTCTGTTTGAAACTCATAAGTTGTTAAAAACTGTAAAGATTTACTGAGAAGAATGAGACTCAAACTAATTGTATTCATGGGGAAGGGCTAAAGGTCTAGCAATCATGCAATACATGGTGAATGGCAGGTAATCATATTTGATCCAAGGATGTAAAAGCTTCAATTCTTTGGAGCAGGAGCCCTTCACCAGCATCAGTGCACCCTTTTTCAGGGAGGCTCAGGCTAATGTATGAGAGACAAATATTTTCCACTAAAGGTTGACCAGGGATATGTGATTCACCAATATATTTATTGATGTAAATAAAATGACTGCTAGTATGTTAGGGAGAGGAGCAATCTTAAAATGAATCAAGTATAAAGTGGGAGTTGTCACAGTTGCTCTTTACTAATAGCAATGCTTGTGGGAGATTCAGAAGAGAAGAGTGGAAGTGTATGTAGAAGATTGAGAGGAACACAGAAAACTGTAAGGTGATGGGAATAAGAAATAGAAGATCGGGAAGGGGGGAGCATGAAGTGAACATATTTAGATGTATGAGAGTGGTTATATTAGAAAATGAATCTAGGAAGATTTTGCTCAATTTTGCCTTTTAAATGTACTTTACAGAACAAGCTTTATATAAAATATGGTAATTTGTGTGTTTCTGCTTTGATTTATGTTCATGAGAAAGATCATTTTGCTAAAAATAAAGTTTACCTAAATTGGACAAGATTTATAAAATTCGTAGCTCAGTAGCTTATGGTTAAAACATTGGAAAACTTGAGATGAATCACAGAATAGATGCAAAAAGTAAGAGGCTTAAGAAAAAATGAAGTTTGCCAATGAATATAAAAAAAATGGTAATCAAGGAATAATGATTATGCAGTTTTGTACAGGAATGAAGCATGGTATTGGAATATTGCAGCCAGGAGGCTAGACATAAATGTCAGCCAGATCAATGTGTGAATATTACCAGACACCTTTGATATACCTTTGAAGTTTCGAGAGTTTTATTACTCTCGGAGCCCGGCCATGGGCCAGGCTCGTCTGGTGCATGCCTGGTCAGCCAGGCTGTTGCTGCTGGAGGCTTGCTGTCCCACATATCCATCACAACCTGGTTAATCTGGCACCTAGTAAAGATACTTACCCAGTTTCCTCTTGAAGCTTCTACACTTGTTCCAGCCATGTTTCTGATATCTTCTGGTAAGATGTTGAATAGTCTGGGACCCTGGATGTTGATACGGTGTTCCCTTATTGTTCCCACCACATCCCTGCTCCTCACTGGGTTTATTTCGCACTTCCTCTCAAAGCTCTCGCTCCAATATGTTGTTATGGCAGTGTGCAGATTTGGGACCAGGTCCTCGAGTATTTTCCAGGTATAGATTATCATGTATCTCTTCTCTTCTCCACTCCAGTGAGCACACGTCCAAGCCTTGAAGGCGTTCCCAATAATTTAGGTGCTTTAGTGGCTCAATGTGAGCCATAAATGATAGTTATTTTTTCCAGCTCTGATATTTCTCCTGCTTTGAATGGGGCCATCAGCACTGAGCAGTGTATTCTAAATGAGGGAGCACTAGCGATTTGAAGTGTGTCACCATCGGCATTATTTCCCTTGTTTTGAAAGTTCTCAATACCCACCCTGTCACCTTCCTGGCTGTCGTGATCTTTGTCTTGTTATGGTCTTTAAATTATTATTATTATTATTATAATCAAAGGGGAAGCGCTAAACCCGGCGGATTATACAGCGATGGTCTTTAAAAGGTTAGCTGACATAATTATTCCCAGGTCTTTTATGTGTTCCTGTTGTTCTATTTGGTGACCCTCTCGAGTTTTGTATATAGCGTTCCTTTTGAGCTCTTCATTCTTTTCATACCTAAGCAGCTTATCACCATTGAACACCATGTTGTTCTCCACTGCCCACTGGAAAACCCTACTTATGTCTTCTGTAATTTTTCATGTCCTCTACCATAGTGACTTTCATGCTTATTTTAGTGTCATCTGTAAATGATGATATAAAAGTGTGATGGGTGTTTTTATCTATGTCTGCTATGAGGATGAGAAACAGCAGAGGTGCCAGGAGAGTGCCTTGAGGCACTGAGCTTTTTACCTCACTGATGCTGGATCTTACTCTGTTTACTACTACTTTTTGTATTGTGTGTGTTAGGAATCTGAAAATCTATCTGCCTACCTTCCCCGTAATGCCCATGGCCTTCATTTTCTGCTCTATCACTCCTGGTCATCTTCCAACGGCTACGTAATTCTGTCAATGGTTCAGCAGCTGTGACTGGCATGATCATCCTTCTCTAAAACCATGCTGATTCGGGTTATGCTGGTTGTGCTGCTACATGAAATTTGTAATCTGCCGTATCATCACTCTTTCGAAGATTTTTACGATGTAAGAAGTTAGGGCTACGGGTCTAATTTTTAGCTAGTGCTCTACTACCTCCCTAATGCAAAGGGGCTATGTCTGCACTCTTTAAGGCCTCTGGTATTTCACCTAGATCTAAGCTCTTTCTCCAAAGAATACTGAGGGCTCGTGCTAGTGGTACTTTGCACTTCTTCATTAATATCGCATCCTATAAATCTGGTCCAGGTGCTGAGTGAGTGGGCATGTTATCCATTTCTTTTTTGAAATCTATGAGATTTGTACTAATGTCAGTTAGTTGGTCTGCACAGCCATCTGCAGGAGTGAAAAATGTTTCTGCATTTTCTACCTTGCTGTCATTTAGTGGGTTGCTGAACACTGACTCATACTGTTTTTTGGGGGGTTTCTCAGGGGGTTACAAAGGGTTCGGGAGAATATACACAATTTATTCTCATATACAGTGGTATACCGAGTTTCGAACTTAATCCATTCCAGGATACACAAATAACCCGCACATAAAAGAGAGAAGCTTACGACGACGTTTCGGTCCGACTTGGACCATTGACAAAGTCACACTAACCAGAAGTGGAGCAGGACGGCTATATAGAGGCAGGAAGAGGTGGTGGTAGTAGTAGTAGTACAAGAATGGTATATAATACCGACAAGATGAAATTAAGACACATGCGCAACACCTGGGCATCCCTATCGTAGACGTTTCGCCATCCAGCCAGCCACTGGATGGCGAAACGTCCACAACAAAGACAACCAGACGCCGCACATGTGTCTTAATTTCATCAGTAGTTGTAGTAGTAGTAGTAGTAGAAGAGGTAGTGGTAGTGGTAGAAGTGGGAAATAAGGAGGACGAGCCAGTCAAAAACAAAGGAAGGGGAGCACTGCAAGAGAGCTAGGTGCCCACTGAGGGAGAGCAAGCGCACAGAGGTGCGTGAAAGGGGAAGTGGGAAATAAATGAAGAAGGAACAGAAACACGAGACAGAAGAGAGAAAGACAACCCAGAGGAGAAAAGGAAAGGGGAAGAGGGAGAAGAAGAAAAAAAAGAAAAAGAAAAAAGAAAAAATGAGGAGTCGGGTTAAGTCACGGGTGTTCTGAAGTTTGGAGCATTTTACAATGTAGTGGGAGAGGAAGGCATCTACAGAGATGAAGCCAGGGCTAAGGTTCATACAAGGAAAGTTGTGTATTAGAGAGGATTCAACTAGACGGCGACTGTTCGAGTTGGAAGTAGGGAAGACAGTTTTAGCAGAAGACCAGTCATTAGGATGGCTATGATCTCTGACGTGACAGAAAAGAGCATTGTTAGTGTCGGCAAGCCTAACACTATTTTTGTGCTCCTGGCTTCGTCTCTGTAGATGCCTTCCTCTCCCACATTTCTAGTAAAACCAATCAAAATCACCTCTATTTCTATAATATGTTTTCCATTCTATCAAATGAGACCAAGAAAATGAGAATACAACCATAAATACTATACAAAAATAGACCACAAAGTCAGCATTTTAATTTAAAAAAAAAAAAAAAGTTGGAGTTTTTTTTTTTCTCATTATGCACTGCGTGCTCCAGGATTTTTTTAATACAGTGCACACTGACCACACAGACTCATTCTCTCACATGTGGGCCTACCAGCTTTCTCCTGCTTGATTTGAAGCCCCTAGAATTTATGAGTATATATACGTCAAACACAGTACCTCGTAAGACGTATATATACGATTGAAACAGTCAAAGGATTAAATGAGTAACAAAATAGATAAATAAACATTTAAATAAACATTTAAAATCACATTTACGTACCTTTATTGAAGACTCTTGTTGGCATCTGGAAGATAGGGAGGAGGAGAGCGGGAGGACTTATTATTGCCTCAACCACTGCGGCACACTGCCTCCTATTTTTGGACAATTTCTTTCTTCACTTCTATGGTGTTTCTCACTTTCTTTACCAAAGGGATGCCACTAGGAAGTTTCTTTGGGCCCATGGTGGCTTATTTCACAGTCGTAATCAATAAACAAGCACTAAACACAATGAATTTATTGTGAAATGTTTGGATGAGCATGCAGGGTAACGTTCACTCAAGGATAAGCAAAGCTAGACTGACTCACGATGCCTGCACGGGCAGGCAGACAGGTCTGGTACGCGGTTCGAAACACAGGGCATGTTCGATACTCGGGACAAAATTGGTGTGAAAAAAGAGGTTGAAACTCGAAGCGTTTGATAGTCAATGCGTTCAAAACTTGAGGTTCCACTGCATTTGAACACTGATTACACATGCAGTGGTCAGCTACAGTAAACACATCAACCACAACCAGTTACTCAGTTCATATTTACAGTGGGGGATGTCCGTATGTCGCTCTTGCTTCGTGACTTCCAAGGCAGTTTCCTGTTTGCACTATGTCTGCCAAGCGAAAAGAAGCTTCTCTGAAGGCCAGTCGTATCGATTCCACTGGTCGCTTCGCTCATTAGAATGGAGCAGCATTGGAGACTTCACACAGAATTGCTCTGAAAATTATGCAGATCAAGAAGCCTCATACCATTGGCAGACCTGATTAAGCCTTGCATTCTGGAAGCAACAAAGGTGGTTCTTGGAGAACAGCAGGCAAACAAGTCAAGGGCAATTTCCCTTTCGAACTATACAGTCAGAAGTCAGATCTTGGACATGAATGAGGATATTCATTGCAACTGGACGAGTCAACAGATGTTGCTTCATGTTCCCAACTTCTTCTTTATGTTCATTGCCTTAACAGGGAAGTTATGAAGGAGGAGTACTTCTTCTCTGAACCAGTGGCCACAATCACTTGTGGAGAAGATATTTTCAAAATCCTAGGCTGGGAAGCACTTGTCAAAGTGTGTACAGATGGGGCTCCTTTTTTGACCGGTTGCAAATCTGGCTTCAAAGCCTTAGTGAAGAACGTCACTCCGCATATCTCCTTCACTCACTGTGTGATTCATTGGCATGCTTTGGTGATGAAGACTCTCCCACCTAGACTTCAAGAAGTGCTCACAGGTGTTGTAAATATTGTGAACCATATCCGAGGGAGCGCAATGACTTCAAGGGTTTTTAAAGTGCTCTGTGAAGAAATGGATGCTGACTTCTCTCCTATTTCACACAGACATATGTTGGCTCTCACATGACAAGATTCTAAATCGCATGCTACAACTTCAAAAGGAAATAACAATGCTGTTGGAACGAGGTCATACAGCGAAGGAGAATCTCCTTCACGAAAAGATGCAGGATAACTGTTTTGTAACAAAGGTTGCCTACTTGGCCGATTTCTTCTCAGAAGTAAATTCCCTGAATATTTCACTCCTAGGAAACCTTACAATGCTGCACACAGCTTGTGGCAAAGTGGCATCATTCATGTGAAAGATTCAACTTTACCAGAAAAGAGTTGAGGACGGTGATGCAACTTTCTTCCCTCAGATGACGACTCTCCTGGATTCTATGCCAGATGCTGAATGCAGTTTCCATGAGGAGATCTCAGCCCATCTTTTGGCAGTGAATGACATCATCGAAAGTTACTTTCCAGGACTGGATGACTGCTGTACTGATGCGTAGATCTACAGACTCTTTTCAGTCAAGGACAGTGCCATCAGTGATACTGATGTTGCTGCTAAGGTAGAATTTCTTAAATTCATGAGGACTCTCAGTTGAAAGTCGACTTTACTGAACAAGAGCTCCCGACATTTTGGACAAAAGTGCAGGATGACTGTCCTATTCTTTCAATGCGTGCACAGACCATGCTGATCCAGTCCCCATCAGCCTATCACTGCAAGGTTGGAGTCTTGGTACAGACCTGCATTCAACTTCGACAACCTCTACTAGTGAGAACGGCTGGATTTGAGAGGGACCTGACCTCCCAACATCTGCGTTCTACTAGTGACCTACGTCTCACCTCATGGCGCTATATAAGGCTCCATCCTGTCACTTCAACTCCATATTGTTTCAGACTATGAAACAATGCTCTTCTCTAGACTGAGGGACTGACCACCTCAAAACTTTAAGGGTGATGGACTGATTACATCATCTTCAAGTCTCTTCTGCTTCTATCAACTTTTCTGTACTCGACTGAAGAAGCCTACTGTGTAGGCGAAACGTTTCGAAATAAAGATACCTAACTGTTGCATATGTGTCTTACCTAACAACCTGTCGGTATTTTATACCATTTTAATGTTCAATGGTAACACTGAAAATGAAGGCACGCAATAGGCTTGTGATTGATGCTGACATGAGGTGTTGCCTGTTGAGCACTGCTCCTTGCTTTGATAGACTTATGGCTGCAAAACAATTTCAACCCTCCCACTGAGTGAATGAGAAGTAGGTTTTGTATGATCAGTAGTTCTGTGGAATTTACAATGTTCTGGCATTTGTAGAGGCTATGTGGAATTTTTCAAGTTTTTTTTTTTTATGTGGCATATTCATAAACCATAGTCTTCCTATCATTTTGTTTTATCTTACCCTTTCACAAGGTTCACCATTTCAAAATTTATTATAGGAGTCATGGTAATACCCTGAAGTCTCGGGATGGGGGGGGGGGGTCATAGGACGAAAAAGGTTAGGAACCACTGGATTGAAGAACCTTTTGATACTACATTTTAACATGTTACATCATACAAATAACATGAAATAGAGGGCAAAAATGTTTTTTTTGTGAATTTCTAGTACTACTGGTGTCCTATGTTTTTGGATTTTGTAAAAAAATTATTTTATTCTAGAAAATTTAAGTTGCATTGTTATTTAACCAAAATAATACTACACATTAATTATGCGACATGTTTACTTTTTGAGGACTGTTACTACTACAATATAATACTTGGGTATTATGTTGTGGGCACATCATGTATTATTCTCTATGTTTATTTTGTAAGTACAGTACTGTAATTCTTTATCACCTTGCTCTGCTCTCAACTGAAAATGTCCCATAGCACGTTTGCCATTATAAAACCTACCTGTGATTGGTTTTGAGAGCATTTCTGTTCTCATGGCCCTGCCTGGAGTCTAGACTTCTCTGTTGGCTGCCTAATCAACCAGGCTGTTGCTGCTCATGGCCTGCAGGCCTACATAGCTCATGTAGTCTAGTTACAACACTTTGGTTATGACTGCAAATAACATAAGTTGCCTTTAATGGCTGTTAACAATATTACAATATGTTAATGATTACATTTTACAATAATTTTTAACCCCCTGAAGAATCTATTATATTAACTACCGCATAACATCATTTGAGTTTATTTTTCCTAATTTGTTTTGATTTTTTATAGGTACTCTGAACCCAGCACTGCAGGACAGGCAGGGACGTCCAAAGCGGGATATATCTACCATTATCCATATCCTCAATGACCTTCTATGTGCCACTCCCCAGTATCGTCGACATTCAACCAACATTTCTCTAAGTACCTCGACACCCACCACCAGCCGAAGTAAAAACATTGGTGGAATTGCCAAGCGGGTTGGGCATCAAACTGGTGGTGCCTCCACTAGTGAAGTGAAGGTCCAAGATTCTACTACACATCTTAATGGTGGGAAGTCTGCTGATAATGCACAAACTACCGAACAAGGTAAATAACCTGTACACTGTGTGGAATACACTACATTGAAAGTTGTTCTGCTGGGTTTCCCCTATAGTTCAGTCTTTGACCAGACTTATTAACCCCTTCACTCTTCGAAGCACCAAAATTAAGAACTGCTGACAATTTCGGGAACTTAAATTTATTTTTTCTGAAATGGTAGAGAATCCTTTTCTGGAAGTAATGACACCATAAATACAAAATAGAAAATTTAGGGTGCAAAGTTGGCAGTCTGAGCACAATTTACGCATTGGCAAGTTTGTCCACTTTGAGTCCTATTTTAACCCTTTCAGGGTCTGTGCCGTAGATCTATGGCTTTACGTTCAGGATCCAAACCGTAGATCTACGCCATGAGCTCAGCTCACTCTGATAAGCTGTGAGCAGTAAATTTGGGCCTAGATATGAGAGAATACATCTATGTGGTATGTGTGCACCACATAAAACAACTCCTGCAGCACACAGTGCATGAGAGAAAAAACTGAGACCGTAATTTTCGATTAAAACAGCGACTTGCAGTGTTTTTTCGTACATTTTTTTATAGTTGTATTTGCAATTTCTTGGTCTCATTTGATAGAATGGAAGATATACTACAGAAATAGAGATGATTTTGATTGGTTTGGTTAAGTACTGGAAATGGCTTGAAACTGAGCTAAAAGTAGCAGAAATGTTAAATTTTTGCCGATGTTCAAGAGTAAACAAATGACCTCACAAGTCTAATACATGACAGTTGGTGGGTCTAATATACATTCACAAATGTGGTGATATTATTTATACCATTATTACAGTATTGCATAACAGTAAATCTTCTATTTTTTGGTTTGAATAAAAATTCATTATGTGAATAAAAAATCAAAATGGAATTTATTTGTAAATCCTGAAAACGTAACTAATGAACAGAGGAAATGTTAGTTTAGTGCCAGAAATGCCTGCATTGTTTATCCTGGACCCTATTTTTAAATTGGAATATTTTGAACTTTGCATTAAATTGGCCAAATTACCAATTCCGGTCACTTTATTTTGTTGTTGAAACAGTTGACTTGGCGATTTCTTGTGCTCAATCGATAGAATAGAAGTAATACTAGTGAAGTAGCTAAGAATTTGGTTGACTGGAATACTGTAATTGCCCTAAAATGGGAGTCAAAGTCGGCAAAATTGCTGATGCGTAAATATCGCCGCCACATCAAAATTTGCTAGCACAATTTCGTTAATTTTCCATCAAATTTCGTACTTTTCATTTTATTACCTAAAAAAAAAAGGTTCTCTACCATTTCATAAGAAAAAATAACAAAATTATTCTTTGAAAATTCTTGGACCCTGGTGTGCACTTTAAAATTTGGCCTCTGGACCCTGAAGGTTAAGCCAATTCTAGTGCTTAACCCTTTGACTGTTTTCGACGTATAAATACGTCTTACGAGCCAATGTTTCTGACGTATATATACTCAATAATTCTAGCGGCTTCAAATCAAGTGGGAGAAAGCTGGTAGGCCCACATGTGAGAGAATGGGTCTGTGTGGTCAGTGTGCACCACATAAAAAAAATCCTGCAGCACACATTGCGTAATGAGAAAAAAAAAACTCTGATCGTTTTTTTGGAATAAAACGCCGACTTTGAGGTGTATTTTCGTATAGTATTTATCGTTGTATTCGCGTTTTCATGGTCTTAGTTGATAAAATGGAAAACATATTACAGAAATAGAGATGATTTTCATTACTTTTACGATGAAAACGACCTTGAAACTGAGCTCAAAGTAGCGGAAATGTTCGATTTTTACCAATGTTCAAGAGTAAATAAATCACACCACACGTCCAATACACGTCAACTGGGGAGTCTAATATTCTTTCACTAGTGCACTGATATTATTATACCATTTTTACAATAATGCAGTCGTCTGCATAACAGTAAATTTTGTATTTTTTTGTATGAATAAAAAATCAAAATAGAAAGCAATAATAATATAAGAGGGGCCTAGAGATGTGACTAATGAACAGAGCATATGTTATTTTAGTGCCACGAATGTCTACCTTGTTTATTCTGGACCCTATTTTGAAATTGGCATCTTTTTTATTTTGCGTGAAATTGGCCAAATTGCCAATTTCTGACCACCATATTGGGTAGTCCAAATTAGTAAATGGGAGGTTTCTTGTGCTCAGCTGATAGATAAAATGGAGTTCTAAAGAAATAGCTATGAGTTTGGTCAACTGGAACAATGGAATTGGCTGAAAATTGGGCTCAAAGTCGGCGAAATCGCCGATACGCACATGTCGCCGAGACCGCTAACTTCGCGGGAGCATAATTCCACGAGTTTTCGACCAAATTTCGAACTTTTGGTGTCATTACCATCGGGAAAAGATTCTCTATCATTTCATAAGAAAAAATAATTTTTTTTTTTTTCAAAAATTGAGCGACATAGAATGACAGTTTCAGAGAGGGGCCTGAAACAGTCAAAGGGTTAATTCAACCAAATCTTAGCTATTTCACTAGTATGCTTCTGTTCTATCGAAACTGCCCATTCAGCTATAAGAACTACCCTATAAAGTGCACAGAAGTCGATAAATTGGCCAGCTTTACACGAACTTAAAAAAATCAAATTTAAATACACAAATAACCCGCACATACAAGAGAGGAGCTTACGACGACATTTTGGTCCGACTTGGACCATTTATAAAATCACACTGGTCCAAGTCAGACCGAAACGTCGTTGTAAGCTCCTCTCTTCTATGTGCGGGTTATTTGTGTATGGTTCCAGTCACGGTGTTGCCTTTTTTTGTTATCAAATTTAAAAGGTTTCTATTTTAAATCAAACAAGGTCAGAGGTTTGCTTTTCCCATCATGCACTGCATGGGATAGTTTCTTTTTTATACCATGCACACTCACAACACAGACCCATTCTCTCAAGTCTAAACCAAAATTTACTGCTCACAGCATATTTGAGGGAGATGTACTTTAAAATGTAGATCTGCATGATTGCTGCTGGCATCAGTAACATAGATCAAAGTATGAGACAGTAAAAAGGTTAATATCAAATCAGTTAGGTGGGTATTATTTGCATTCTGAATGCAAATAATGGTGGCAGTGAATATTGTGTTTGTCAGAAAGGGAGAAATGTGAAAAATACTCTTGATGAGTGTTACTTATATAATGATTTAAACAGTGGAGGTTCTGGCTTGCAGAACCACCCTGTAAAAAAAAATACAATGATAGAATTGCCTTCCTCTCCCCCATGTAAATGCCAGCAGTCACCATGCAAGTTATTTTTATATTTTACTACTATGGTTCATTAGTGTTTTCTTTCATATCTCACTGTAACTGCCTTCCACTGTTAACCCTTTCACTATCCAGAACCCCCCCCCCCCATAAAAATGCTCCCAGTGTCATTTTTTTTTTTTTTAAATTATTCTGAAATGGTAAGAGAATCTTTTTCTGAAGGTAATGACACCAAAAGTACGAAATTTGATGGAAAACTTAGGGTGCAAAATTTTCAGTCTGGGTGCAATTTAAGCTTCTTGGTCTATGAATTCCCAGTCTGCCCCAGTACTGACTGTAATGTGGGCTGGTGTAATTTAGGCCCTGGTGTGTGAAGAACTGTACCCTGAAAATATTTAGTCTTTGAAATTGATATTATGACAATTGTTGGGAAGCACTAAATCTATAAGGGTTATACATCACCTGGTTAATGGGAGGTAATTAGGTTTGATCCAGAAAATGAAGGGTAGCTCCATTTCCTTTGATAAAGCATCTTTCACCTGCTTCAAGGAACCCCTCCCTTGAGGGCAGTGATGTCATGATTCTCTTGAATTTTAAATTATATTCACAATTTTTGTTTACTTGCTGTAACATACAATACTTCCCTCTGCAAATTACATATATGTCATTGTATAATATTTGCAGATTCTGGAGATGAAAACCAAGCAATGCGCACTAAAGTGGAACAACTGCGATTAATTATGGAGCAGAGACGTGCTCGCCGTAAGGCCCGCCGTGATGCCCGCACCCGCCCATACCCACACACTTCAGCATCGTGGGCCACTGATACCAGTGTTCCTACAGTTGTCACTGCTAGCAGCACAGCATCAGCAAGTACTGCTCAAGCTATGGAGGTTGATGGTAGTAAAGCTGATGGTACTGACCCTGCTACCCTGTGTGAGCTCAACTCAGAGACTGTTGTGGCTTAATGGTGGGCTAACACTAGAAGGATGTTAGGGTGGTGCGTAGGAAGAATTTGCCATGTTAAACTCACCGCGTTATAGTGGTAAATAATGAGTTTACCTTTGCACAATTGCCTGTAACCCAAGGTTACTCATTTAGCCAAGGTAATAGAAGTCTTATTACTGTAAGGCTTGCCATCTGGCAGTTAAAAAGGGGGAATGCAAAGTGTTTTGTCTGTGATTTAGGGTTGAAAGTGTTGCAAGTAATTTGCAACATAGAGCATTGATTGATGATGTGCTTCCACAGTTGGAAAAGATGACAGGTGTAACAAGCCAACTTGCTTATGAAGAATATACATGAGTACACATGTAGTTGAAACAGACTCTGTTAATAACCTTCGATGTTCTGAAAGTTTCTTACAGTTGATTAAAGCAACGACTTGTTGGAAACAGATTTAGAAATGAAAATGAGCAGTTTGTATTGCATCTGTTCAATAAGTTTGTTTTCTCAACAGTAGACCACCCGTGAGGCTTACCCTGGGAAAAAATGCTTGTGGCTTAGCAGGGACACAGTACACAGAATTACAGTATGGAATTCAGGATATGTATCAGGTGGCCTTGTAAGTCTCAAGTATTTCTAGGGTCTTGAAATGAGAATCAGTTTTTGTCTTTCCTTGAAGCTCAAGTCAGCTCCTGATTAGCCAGGCTGTGGTGCTAAAAGTCCCCAGCATCATTATATCTATAGTAATACTGACAGTTTTCCTATAACCAACAGTCCAAGTGATCAGGCTGTCAACCAGGGGTCTGGTCTGGGACTGGGCCATGGGGACAATGAACCCCAGAATCTGCAACAGGCACATATATTTGAGTTCTCAGGTTACACAATATTTGATTCGGTCAATTCTAGACCCCATAGTCTTCAGTTTGGTGTCTTGCTTGAGGCTGCATAACTCTGCTAAGACACCATTCATAAGTTGACAACAGTTCAGGCTATATTAGGAGGGTATTACATCATCTGAGGACGGCTGAATCTACCTCGTCATAAAACCAATTGCTATTTCTTTTCATACAAGCAGATCATATAACCCTTATTCTAATATTATATATACAATATGCTGTTATAATTCAGGATGTCACCTCGGCTGTTAAAGCCCCATAGATCCAATTGCCATAGTTATGTGTAGATGTGGTTGAACTCACTTTTTGTGTAATGATTGACTTTTGGCTTCTGAGAAATTTTGAATCACCCAAGCCACAAGCTATGGAGATGATAATGCTTAAGTTGTCTGTGTTGACGTGATACTTGTATCCAGTGCGGGTTTACCTTCTTATATGCGCCACCAATGCTGTAAATAACACTTTAAAAGCCTTGAAAGATGCAAAAGGCATCTCCATAGATAAAAAAAAAATTATTTAGTGAATGTTAAAGTTTAGGCCCCTTGTTCTTAGGCCCTTGAGTAGCAGATGAAGGCACTAAGCAGTCATTGTTAATGTGATTGTTTAGTAACTAAGTCTGCTTAATACTGATGGTTTACTAACAAATAAGAATGCCAGTCCATGATCATGTGGTGTTGGTGAATACAAAATGACTAATGAGGAAGTGTATGACAAGGGAGCAAATTCTCGGATCATGCCAACTATGTTTACGAAGTGAAGATATGACAACTTCTTGAGCTCATTTTTATGATCTTTTCTTGTGTTGTATTGATTATTTTCAAAATCTAATTTTAGAGGGTTGTCTATGTGAATAATTCCTTTTCTTGGAGAGAAACTACTTAAATAACTTGTTACTCCCCTTTTTTCCTAAAACAATGTTGAATATTTAAATATATGTATTATTATTAATAATCAAAAAGAAGCGCTAAGCCACAAGGACTATACAGCTAAATATATGTAGCAGATTAAATTAGAGCATAATATAAATATTATTGCACATTTGGACTATAAAAGCTAAAACAGGTTAACATGCAATTTTTGTACATAAACCTTTATTGCAGATTTTCCATGTAATTATTATACTCGAGGGGAAGCACTAAATGTGTAGGGGTGTCATTCAATTTCTCTGCAATCTTGTCAGATTCTGCATTATAAAACAACACTAGTATATTTATTCTGCATTAGTTTTCATATCTTGACTTGAGTAAGCCAGGTCTAATTATAGTCACAAACTTACATGTGGTATGGCCTGCTTTCTAAATATTCACCATAACGATTCATCTAATACTAAAAATGTAAATTTTGAGAGAGGGTTTTGGGTGACTCAAAATTGATCCACATTCAAGTCTTATGTAAGTTTATGACTAAAATGTGACTGTAACAGTAGGTGTAATTGCTCTTTATACACTTTATATTTCCACTTATGCTTTATTCAAATTTAAACCCCCATTGTGATGGATATTATGAATTTACTGTTACGGTCACTGAATCAAACTGGACAGTTGTCTGCATTGTGATATTAGATAGATGGACACTCCAAAATGTTCTTGCTTTCAGCCTCCTTTTTTATATTTTTTTTTTATTTTCACTGTTGAGGACTGAACCAAGGAGATTCATATACCGGTACAACAGTGTCTTGTTGGAGTTGGCAGTTTTATGTTATCTAGGTTGAGACTTCCATGTTTGTCTTCTCCAGTTCTAGATAGTCACCTATGAGACTTGGAGATATTAATAATGTAAAAGTATTTTACGCTTGCTTTATAGCTGTGGGTCTTGCTAGAAATGTTAATTTAAAATTAGTAATTCAAAATGTTTTTTGAGTTCTAGCAGGCAATTTTAAAATATAACATGTCAGCCAAATTCAGTGTATTTTCCATTATTGGATCTCAGGTGGAATGTCTCAGATTTGACTCTCTAGAACTGGGCCGCATCATACAACTTCATCTGCTTACTAATTATTACTGAACTGGATGTTAATTGGAATTGTGTCCCAAGTCCAGGATTTGTTTTTTCATTGGATTTTCTATTATAATTATGAAGATTTACCAAGAGTTTTAAGAAATAAAATGTTAGGATATTGTTATGTAGGGCTACTAGCTTAGTGTTTATTTCGATTCAGTATGTTGTAACAAAATTTATTATAATTTTTCATTGTTTTAAGACTATATATTCCTCTATTTTCACCGTTAATTTAGCACGTTGTCATTGTAAATTACCTTGTTGATTTTTAAGGGTAATTTTGCATAATTAGGGCATTTTAATTCAACATGTTACATACATCATTGGGAAAACCATTTTGTTGTTAACTGGTAAATGATCAGTGGCTTTTGTTTTTGAAGTCTTTTAAAACTGAATTTCAAGACTGACTTACTGTTGCACGAAGCAGCGAGCCTCATCCTCATGTTGACTATATTAGTCAGGATGTTTGCTGCAGTTTCCATCTAATTTGAGATAATCTATAGGAGTGATTTAGTGTTCAGACTCATTCATTACCCATTCAGAATGGGTATTGTGTTGCCTGTATTAAACAGGACAAGGGCCCACTTGCAGTACCCATATGGCTCAAAATTTTATCTCCGTGTCATCTTTGGTAAGTGATAAGCATTAAAAGCTATTCTATGCCATCAGGTTAAGTTAAACACATTATAACAGCCACAGTTACAGACAGTAAGCAGTGGTGATATTCTATATTATTGGATGCTGATGCATTTTTGAAATACTGTTACTGCTCATGGTTGGTTTGTGCAGTGTTCTGAATATATGCCTTATGTGCTAATCGTTTTTATGTTTATCTTAATATCACAGAGGAGCTTGGCACAAGTGATAACAAATCTGTTACATTTAGCACTGTTTGGATGTATTATAGTAAGGATACTGCAGGAAAGGTTCCAGATTTGTGTCCTGCTAATTACAGTGGGCTTTGAGAGAACACCAGTCAAGTGGAGTAATGAAGAGAACTGTCATTTGACAGAAAAAATACTTTACAAGCTGACCAAAGAACATAGCAAAATAATATCAAATAAAAAGAATACAAAATGGATGAATGGGAGACTAAAACATTTTTGTGAGGGGGAGGGGATGGGAGGAATTTATAGGCACATCAAGAATGTCAGTCACCTTATGGACCAATATCCATATTAAAAGGGGTTAAAAATAAGAAAACCTAGGGACAATGAAATTCAAAGTATATAGAACAAAGATTAGAAAAATGTTTGGCCCACTTAAGACAAACTCTGGACAGCATACTGATAATGAAAAGAAATGCAGTTAATTTTTTCACAAGATAAAACAAGAATCTTTGTAATTATTATAATTAACCCTAGGAAAAATTATGTATAGCTGTGAAGTATGGTTTTCAATATAACATACATGTGTTTTAAATTGGTAGTAGGTTGGTAGACAGCAACCACCCAGGGGGGTACTACCATCCTGCCAAGTGAGTGTGAAATGAAAGCCTGTAATTGTTTTACATGATGGTAGGATTGCTGGTGTCCATTTTTGTCTCATGAACATGCAAGGTTTCAGGTACGTCTTGCTACTTCTACTTATACTTAGGTCACACTACACATACATGTACAAGCATATAGTATATACACACCCCTCTGGGTTTTTCTTCTATTTTCTTACTAGTTCTTGTTCTTGTTTATTTCCTCTTACCTCCATGGCGACTAAAATGCCAGGAGCAAGGGGCTAGTAACCCCTTCTCCTGTATATATTACTAAATGTAAAAGGAGAAACTTTCGTTTTTCCTTTTGGGCCACCCCACCTCGGTGGGATACAGCCGGTGTGTTGAAAGAAAGAAAGACGTGTTTTAAACAACTGGACTGATTAATACAAAAAAAGTCCCCAGATTCTGACACAGTTTTCAAAGTTCTTAATGCAAGATGGAGTTAGTTAGCCACTGACTAATCTTTTCAAAATATCACTACAAATAGGTATCATACCTGACATGTGGGAGATGGCTAATGTAATTCATATATATAAAATGAGAGGTCCCTATCATTGAAGGTCACCTTATGGACCAACATATCCATATTAAAAGAGGTTAAAAATTAAAAGGAGGCCCTACCATTGAACTACCACCCAGTCAATCATTACAGTCCACATCTAGGGAATTGGGTCTGTGCTCCAATTTCCTGAATTAAGCCTGAATGCCTTCCACGCCCTTTCCCCCCACAGGCACTGTATAATCCCTCTAGGTTTAGCACTCCCCATGATTTTACACTCCACAACAGTAGATGTAATTAGAATTGGACCTGATTTTCCCTTTCCTTGGATAGAACCTGATTGCCTACCATTTCCCATACCCCGTATGATTCCTATGAGGTTAGCACTTCTCTTCTACTACTACTACTACTACTAATAATAATAATGTAGTCCCAGCACTGATTAGAAGGGGATGTTCATACCTGACACCTACCGACTCTGTTGGTCTGGGTTGGACCACAACAAATTGCTTTCTGTCAAGTAAATGGCTCTAGCCATCTTCCCACTGCTGTCATGTCTGGGAGACCACAATCTCCTGTTTACATATTGGACATGTGACTCGCTCACTGTACTTCATGAATAAACACCTGGCACTTGCCCGCAGGATATACTACTACTGACATCTCTGCTGCCTCAGAATACTAACTGCCTTCCTTGCTGAAGGTCCCACCTTTGACAGACTCATCGACTTTTTAACAGAGACCAACTCTGATTTAGATTTTACTACTGCTCTCTCCCACCTCCACTAACACCTATTCCTACAGACATCCCACCCTTCAGTGCTGTATGACCCTTTCGGGTTTGTAATTAAATTAATTATATTATGATGTAAGTGTTTTGTCACCCTGCCTCTGTGGGAAATGGCCGATGTGTTAAAGAAAATAATTATTATTAAGCTTTAGTAAGGCATTTGAGGTAGTGGACCATAGTAAAGAATATGTTGCTGTCTACTTGAATTTCAGTAGAGATTTTGATAATATAAGCAACTAAACATAAAATGGTTATATAGCACTGCAAGGTTTTTTATTAAAGCTCCTCACAGAAGACTGTTCCACAAATAGGTAACACAGGGTACTGGACGAATGGTTCTGTCATGGATCAAGATATGGATGATAAATAGGTAGCAAAAGGTATTGGATGAATGGTTTTCTCATGGATCAAGACATGGATGATAAGCAGGCAGTACAGGGTTTGCATAAACTGATTGAAATCAGAACGGAAACTAGTCATGAATAGCTCCACGATGATCAGTTTTGGCCCCTTGTTGTTTGGGAACAACATTAATGATCTTGCTAAGGGAATATGTGACATAAGTAAATTCATTGACTACACCAAAATAGGTAAATACAAGAGGTAGACAGGATATATACAATGGGGATAAAAATGAGGTATCAAGGATATCTGACAAGAAAGAGCGTAAAATTTAAAGGATACAGGCAAGTGCTGTTTCAGCAATGAAGGTGTCAATGAGTATAATAGATTACTGAGTTGTGTCACAGAGGCTTACAGTTTGGGTAGCCTGAAAAAAGAAAATTGGTCAGTTATATAAATTAACCTTGGATGGATTCAATCATGATGTGCATAGCATGGGCCAGTAGGCCTATCACAGTGCTTTGCTATTATATAATGGCACTGCAAATGAAATTATACGTCAAAGCATATATTTAGCAACACTTGCACATTCCACGGTCAATTTTCATTGAGATAATAAAGTATTGATGTTTTAGGTGAAGATTAAAAATAAAAGAGTAACCTTTGGTGTCTGTAAACCAAGAGCACCAATCTTCTAGGATACTTTTGCAATACTTCTCAGGGATTTCTTCTTATTGCTCATTCTCCTGTGTTTTGCTTCTCTTTGCAAGTTAAAATTGGGTGTTGGTTTTTCAACATAGGGGAAATAACAAGGCAGTGCATAGGCAACTTACCATCTTGGTAACTTTAGCAAGATAGTTTCAACCGCTTTCTTTTAAGCGTTCGTAACACAGGAAAATGTAGAATATTACAAGCATATTTATTAGTTTACACTATGCGGGTATGAGAGTAGGACCAACAAATTTTTTTCCCGTTCCTCGGATGAAACACTTGTGTAGTTCAGAAATGCATTTTATTTATATAATGAAGTTGGATAGCTGATTAATCAAGCTTAAAATACAGGTAATCAGCTTTTTGCTGTTATGAAAGCAGTATAGTAGAATACTTCTCATGGATCTCAACATTTTAAGCAGGGAAGAACCTTACTGTCTGTAACTATTGCTGTTGTATATTAATCATCAGACATAGCATGAGCATTCTATTAGATTGTTTTGACAGAGGGCATTGGATTCCTCCTTATTTATTCAAAATAAAATATTTCTGCACGACAGAATTTAAAAGAAATACATAAAGGACCATGTCACTGTCATCCAATCATCATACAGAAATCTCACTCGTCGTCATTAAGAAATTGCTTTCTCTTTTATATCGACTTCAAGTCCCACCTGAAGTGTGCAGAGTTGAAGAGGTTGTGGAGAGATGGGGCCAGCTGTGACAAGCTCTTAAAAACAATTCAATTTTCATACTTAAAGCCTCAACAGGTTTACCAGTCAGCTACTTTCTCCCAGCCCCTTCTTTTTATGTCAGGTGTTGTTTCCCCTTGTTGATTCGTCCTTGTTGTACATTGATAAACACGATGGTGAGATTTAGCAACTACAAATAAAAAATTATTTGTTCTAAAGCCCCATTACTAGGTCTCTGTGATTAGACAGTAGGCATGGGTATGTCAAATAATTTTGTATTTTGTTACTGAATATCATCTTTTAATATTAATATTAATCTTACTAGATTTGAGTGCTGTGTATTTGAATGAGGTGCAGCACTATAATTAATTGTTAGAGCTTGAGGCTTTAGTTGGAAATAATATTGTACATCTAGCATGTATATAGGGATTGAATGCCACTGAAATGTGTAGTGTAGTAGTATTTCAGGCAGTTTCCCAGATACATTGCATGCACTACTAGTTTGATGTTCATATTATGACATATATGATTAACCAGCATTGCATAAAAGTATACAAGGTTGATGTTCTCAGATATTAACCTTGTCTACTTTTATTTTCAAGACCCTTAGATGCTGCTCTTGCTATAATAGGGAAAGATAGTAAGTGGTGATAAATAAATCCCAAGCATAGCTTTGTATTGGGCTCAGGATCTTATACAAAAAAAAAACCCATGGGAGAGTGACCTTGTCTGAAACACTGCAAGATATGTTATTGTTGATCACATCCTGTACAGGTGAGAGAATATTGAACTGCTAACAGCAAACATTTACATCACAAATACTTTGCCTGTATCATTAGCGTTAAGATTTTTTTCCTTGGTTCAAAGTGGTATGGCTGAAATTATGTTGTATTTTGAAAGGTGTGTAGATTCCCATGTCTGTTCTTCACGTTAATAAATCAGTATGTTGAATATTTTATTTTATTTCTTCACCTATAATCTCTGAATTTCAGATATTAGTAGATTGCTGGAAATGCTCCCCTATCCTTATTAGTTACATAACTTTCTAAATTATTACTCCAGCTTGGGAAAGCGCTAACTCCAATACCTAGTCAGATTAACCCTTTGAGGGTCGACAGGCCCTCTCCGAAACTCGTTCTCAGGGTCGGCCAAATTTAAAAAAAAAAAAAAATTATTTTCTCTTATGAAAAGATAGAGAATCTTTTCCCGATCATAAAGACACCAAAAGTTTGAAATTTGATAGAAAACTTACGGAATTATGCTCTTGCAAAGTTAGCGGTCTCGGCGATGTTTACGCATCGGCGATTTTGCCCACTTTGAGCCCCATTTTCGGCCAATTTCACTGTACTAGTCGACAAAAAACATGAATATTCCGCTAGAACTCCATTTTTTCTATCGAATGAGTGCAAGAAACCACCCATTTATAAATTCAAACTATCCAGTACATTGGTCAGAATTTAGCAATTTTGCCAATTTCACACAATTTCAAAAGATGCCAATTTCCGAATAGGGTCCAGAATAAACAAGAAAGACATTCCTGGCACTAAAATGACATTTCCTCTAGTCATTAGTCACGTCTCAAGGCCCCTCTTATATTCTTTTTCTTTCCACTTTGAATTTTTATTCTCACAAAAAATATAAGATTTACTGTTATGCAGACTACTGCATTAGTGTAAAAAATGGTATAAATATTATTGGTGCACTTGTGAAAGAATATTAGACTCACCAGTTGACGTGTATTGCATGCTCGGCACGATTTGTTTACTTTTGAAGTTTGGTAAAAATCGAACATTTCTGCTACTTTGAGCTCAATTTCAAGGCACCTTTCATTGTAAAACCAGTCAAAATCATCTCAATTTCTGTAATATGTCTTCCATTCTATAAAATGAGACCAAGAAAACTAGAATACAACAATAAATACCATACGAAAATACACTGCAAAGTCGCTGATTTATTAAAAAAAAACGGTAAAAGTTTTTTTTTTCTCATTATGCACTGTGTGCTGCAGGATTTTTTTTAGACTGTGCACACTGACCACATAGACCCATTCTTTCATATGAAGGCCTACCAGCTTTCTCCCAATAGATTTGAGGCCGCTAGAATTTATGAGTACTAGTACGTCAAAAACCCCTACGCGTAAGACGTACTAGTACGACGAAAACCCTCAAAGGGTTAACCACACACACAAACCTTATGATGCAGATGAGAGGCTTTTGATTCAAGGAAATGGATCTACCTTTCCCTTTCTTGGGTCAAACCTGTTTCCCATTCCCTGTGAGCTGTACGACCTCTACTGGTTTAACATCTTCCACTGACCCTGTTATGGTTATAAAGCAAGGTCTTCAAGGGAAGAGGCCTTAATGCTGAAGAACTCATGATCCAAGGAACTGGAGCTATCCTTTCTTTCCTAGGATCAAACTCTTACATCCTATTCCCTAGGTAGTGTATGACCTACATAGGTTCAGGACTTTCCCTATGAAAATAATTCACAATCAAAACATTTTAGCTATTACTGTATAATAATGAGGAAGCACTAAATCTGCAGGGATCATACAGCACCTAGGAAATGGGAAGCACTGTAGTTCTATATAAATTAAGGATAAATCCAGCTCTCTTTCTTGCATGAAGTCTTTCACCAGCATCAGGTCCCTCCTTGTCTGTGTTTTCCAGTTTCGTTCTGCCAAATGATGAATGTTTTTCCAATTCTTTTAAATGTCTTATACTATGAAACACATTATCATAAGAACATAATGCAAACAATCGCAGACAGACAATCTTAACTATGCAAGACAAGCCACAGGTGGGTGGAAATCTTTAGCTCCAGTACTTTCACACTTCTCAGTGCATCATCAGGAGCTATGTAATGTTGCAACTGAAGTAGGGAAAGTTTTTTCTCAGAATAGCGCAGAGTGGGCCTGTCGCCACCTCCTGGCTCTTCTAAGACAGCCAGAAGGAGGCGACAGGCCTATTCTGCGCTATTCTGAGAAAAAAACTTCACTGTTCATTTGCAACCTTGCATAGCTCCTGATGATGCACTGAGAAGTGTGAAAGTACTGGAGCTAAGGATTTCCACCCCCTGTGGCTTGTCTTGCATAAGAACATGGTGTAAAAGGTCTTTCAGTACTCAAAACATGGAGAAGCATGGTGTGCCATAACCCCAATTGCAATATTCACTACAAATAGTATAAATTATTGTTTTTCTAACACTATGTACAACGAAAGGTTATGATAGTACAATTGCCCCGAGGTATGATACTCCTCAAAACATGAACAGATGCAAATAGCACACAACTTGCAATAATATCGTGTATCCTTGCACTTTTTTGGTTTTCTGGGTGTGTGCATACACAAATACTATCTCTGTGTAGATTTCTCTTCTGAAGGAGTGCTGTATGACTCTCTTGGGTTTAGCACTTAATTTCATTATAGCATTATTTTATATAGGATGAATAGGTGCAAGAAGTATAGAACCAGCTTTTACTGCAATGGATCACTTTTTTCACTTTGCACTATTTGTCTTGTCAGCTAGTTTTGATTTCTTTCCAGTTATTTGAGAATATGGTATGCCCCTTACATTTCCTAAAGTTTTCGTGTTTCTGTAAATAGTGTCTAACACCAGACCAGTTTTACAAGCACACAAACAGGCTGATACCAAAGCCTCCCTTTGAATAAAATCAGACTCATCTATAACAATGTTCTTGAAGGGATAGAAGAACTCACTAAATCATTCCTCTGATTTTGTATAGTAAATAATCTCACTGGGATTATTTTTGTCAGAGAACTGGAACTTATACAGTAACGAGAAATCTATCAAATGACACTACTGCACTGAAAGGGGATATCTCGGGGAAAGACAGACTGAAGAGTTTGTTTCCTTTGATGTTGGTACTGTCAGTTTGCAGCCTGTGTTTGCTTGAACTCTCCATTGTCATTCACTGGGCATATCAGATTGTTAATCTAGCAATTTTCATATTTTTAATCTATGCAGGCAGAAGTGTCTATTTGCAGATTATATTGGTCTGTAGCCACACGTTTGTTTCTTCTAAATTTTCTCAAATGCTTGTTTGTGGGTTTGCCTGGTTGCATGCTTCAAAGACTAAATCATGCACGGGAGTGAATCTACTATGAAATTAATGAAGCCTAAGTTTTTTCTCTGTTGTTTGTTGGCCAATCATACTGAAACTTTGTCACATTCTTCTACATATGCACCTCTAAAAATACACCAAAAATAAATCGGTTGAAAAATAAAAAAGTTGGCCGAAATTTCAAGGGGACGTCCTTAATCTCAGAGGGGGCCCCAGAAGCAACTTTAGTCCACAACGCTTAAAAATTTTGGGACTACTGTATAAGTTTTTTTTTTTAAATAATATTAATAATGTAGTGTAATTTAATATAAAATAATAGTTAAAATGAAACTTAAAAGATTATTAAAGTATCATGTAGGCCAGCCACTGCTGGTTGCACAGGGCCCCCATAACAGTTCAAGCTTCAGGGCCCCCAAACTGTAGGTCCACCACTAATCATGCAACTAGAGTGGTATTTTCACTCCCACCTGGAGTTCTTATTAATCCTTTAATGCATGGGATACACTAGCTCCCTGTCAAGGCAAGATATTAATTTTAACTCTGGTTCTCTAAATGTTAATAAACGAAGTATCTCGCTGATATGCCTGGAACTTTTACATCAGGCTCAGAAATGTTTCTATGAATGGCTGCAGAATCTTTTAAACTGATTGGGCCTTGTGCTTATTAGGGAGAACTCATTTACAGAAAGAGCCTTTTTCTTTATGTAGCTCCCAGATGATTAAGAGTCTCAGTTGAGAACACACCTTTTTTCTCGAGTTTATGATCCTGATGATCATTCTGTCACTCTTGAATATAAACTTAGGTATTCTTTTCATTGTAGTTGCATTTATGGTTTGATGTGCGAGTGCTTGTGAATTTTTTGAAAGAATTGTGCTCAAGAATGATCAAATCTTTATTATTATTTAATTATGAGCATGTGGTATCAGCATTAGTGTTGCAAAGAAAAGATGCATCTCTGCAATAGTAGAATCGGTTAATGCAGTGACTACAATGGGCCGAGTGCTGGCCATACTCAGTGCATTTTTATCAGGAAATGACTTGACATTATCAAGTTCTTTCTTAAAGATAGCTAGGGGCCTGTTGGTAGCACCCCCTTATATATATGAAGGGAGGGTGTTTACAAGTCTTCATCCCTTTACATTTATTGTCTCTCACGGTACTGTACTTCTGCTTTTTATTAGGGGAACAGGACAATATTTTACACAGTCTGCACTTGTAGGGAGTGATTTCAATGTGCAGATTCAGAATCAATCTCTAGAATTTTCTAAGTATGAATTATAATGAATCTTGCTGGCATACCCCCCAAAAATCAGTTCAAGGGACTTCAGGCATTCCCAATAATTAAAGTGCTTGACTGCATAAATTTGAGACCTGGTTTTGATTTTTCTTACTACCACAGCAGACCAAGCTTATTTGTTGCTTGCCTGGTCAACCAGGCTGTTACTGTTGATGGCCAGCTGGTCCACATATCTATCACAGTCTAGCTGACTTTGCACTTGGATGAGTTTGTGATTCCAGCACTACATTTGATATCTGCTGGTAGCAAGTTCAGTAATCACAGTCCACATTTTGTGATACAGTGTTCTCTTATTGTGCCCATGGCACTTTTGTTTTTAGCTTTGTTTTACACCCACTCTCAAATTTCTGGTTCCTGTATGTTGTTGTCATGATGTGTAGCTTTATGATTAGGCCTTCGAGTATCTTTCGTGTATGTTTTATCATCCATCTCTCTCCTCCACTCCAGAGAACATGTGCTGTCTAGTGTAGAGTTTAAATGTTTTATTAACTCTGTGTAGGCCATAAATGATCTCAGCATTTGTTCCAGCTCTAACTGCTCTCCTGCCTTAAACACAACTGGCACCACTG